TCCGGTGTTAGAACTAGCCAATCAGATGCCAGTTCGGAATATGGATTTGGCCAGAGCCCCTCGTCGCACCGCTCGTAAGAAGGGCTCTGTGTACGAGAATGACCGGGCTCATATAAACAGCCCCTAAAGCTAAATAAAAACATACGCGGCGTCAATTACAGTAGGGCTTATCAAAATTTTCCTGATTTACTTGGTAGAGCTCGAGTTGATCGCGTTTATTTGTCACTATAGGCTTAATTCAGGAAAGGTAATTTTCTCGTGAATTCAGACACTGTTTTCTTTGCTGTCCATCAGGTTTTTAAAAGCTTGAAGTCCGTGTTACCGCGCACAAAAAGAGAAAAAATTGAAAAACTAAAACGAACGTGGCTTCATTATTTACGGAAAGCCGTATGGGTTCATAAATAGAGTGCTGCTATACAATCATGCATTTTCAAAAGACAGAACTCCCTCCTTAGGCCTCCTATTTTTGTCGTAAGAAAGTCCTTAAAGTCTTACTAGTTTGTTGTAATTGGTTAAAGTGATCCGTTATATGTTTTTTAATGTTTTGGGTGGATATAGATAATCGGAACCATACATACATATAGTGTTATAAAATTGTTTTAAATGCCCCAATAGAAGCCAAAATAACTTTTATTAATGTCAGTGTGAAATAGGAGGGTGCCTTATATTTAACAAATATAAAACATTTTCCGTGTTGATATACAGTTATATCAACACGAGTGGAAATTGGGAAAACGATAAAACTCACGAGTGTATGTTTTTCCAAATTGCACTAGAAACCATATACCATTATTTGTTAATGTTGTACATGAAACGTTTACACGCTTCGATAACACCTGTGCACTCCCCTACACCATTTAAGCATTGTTTTCATTGCTTTTTGGCGAACCTTTTCAGTCAATGTGCTCCTTGCACTAAAAATGCTTATATTCACGTACGATTTTTCATTGAAAATGTGCGACATTTTTTCTGCCTCGTTTCCAGGCTCTGCTCTCGTTTTGTTGATTACACTCCAGGAATTGCACAATGTGCAATTTCAGAATTAATTGCACTGCTCTTAGCCAATCCGAATTGAATATTTTTCAATGCACTGAAATTCATATTTTTTTGTTAAAATATAACACGACATCCAGTTTGACAATTGTTAGTGTCACACAGTTACATTCCTGAGTGTTGATTTACTCGATACTTGCAGAACATTTTCAATGTTGTCTTGCGGTCCCATAAAGTAAAAATCTTTTTCCACACCTGTCAGCCGTCCTTATTTGCTTTATCCAATTAAATGTGAAACTCACAGTGAAAGTTTTCCATTTTGAGGTTTATCACCACGTACAGGTTCTCCTAAGTTTAAAACATATCTATATTTGAATTATCAGACTGAAAAAATTATATGAACTATATATATATACCAGTCTTGCCGGTCAGTGCTGTTAGATTTACCTGAAAATCAGAAAGAATCCCGGACTAGAATTTTACCTAGAATTACTCGTAAACAAATATTGGGGGGCGGGGGGTTACTGTGTTACACACCTTATACCCCCTTCGGTCGCATTGGCAATGTTTTTTCTTTCATGCATACATGCAGAGGAGGTAGCTATATAATTTTGTTGTATCACATTTGATGATATAAGATTTTTTGTTACAGCAAAGAAATGCTGAATGGATGAATATTCTATCACACGATGAGACAAAAACTGTCAAGGTCAGTCATTTTAATCTTTCAATGTGCACAATATCTAAAATGTCTGATTTCAGAGTAGACAGTGTTGAAGAGGAAGTAGCAACGGTTGTTTAAAGACCTTAATAGCATTTATAGCGGACGGTTTTTTCCTTGAAACTTCCAAGTTTTTATGTGAACCATGCACAGATAGTAGCATCCTTTAACCAACATCACACAGTAACCTAGAACAACAAAATTTTAGAAATTTGTAATCGTCTTCGTAATTTTGCCTTCGATTCCAAATGGAAAGAAGGTGTGGGTACACCCTCTCGGAAAGTTCGTCATTTTGGCCATAAAGCCTCGTTTTCGTGTATGACACTAACCAAAGCCCAACGTCTCAAACACGAAAACGAGGAGCTATAGCAGTCCTCGCAATTTTCGGCGGCAAAAGGCAATTGCCGCTGAAGATTAAATTATCGGCGCCAATTTTTTGCCGCCGACGAATTTTTGTGTGACTGATGATGCTTCACTGCCTTTTCAATTCGATTAATTCTTCCAAGTATGAACATATGATTAGAAAATCAGTCGGGAAAGTGAGCTATTCTTTTGTGAACACTTTTATTTTTGTGGCTTATTTTAAAATACATCGAAAAATACTTCATGTGACTTCAAGTTTAAACATACATACAATTTTAGAACAACGTCCGTAGTGTAACAAAGTTAAAACTAAAAGATTGATAGCTGATCTCAATGTTATTGTGTGTGAAACAAGGTTTCCTTGAATATCAAACACTTTTAATTAGCAGAGTCAAGAGAATACTAAATATAAAATAATTCTGTTCTCTGTCAAAGTGTCAATTTATAGTGACAAAAACATTGCCGCCGAACTTCGAAATATCGGCGGCAATTTTTTACCGCCGGAGATTTATCAAAATTGCAAGGACTGCTATAGTCAATGATGAACTTTCCGGAAGCGTGTGCGCCGGAGCCAGAGTTGTGTTGCTTTCTCCCAGCTCCGGCTGGAAAGTCAGAATGACAAGAAATGTGACAACTTCCTAGAATTATCGTTATTTACAAATAATGGCAACATTGAATTTGTTGAAAGAACGAAGTCTGTAATTGTGTCAACCCATGTCGCCATTTTCGGTTAATGCAAACGGCCAAATTGTAATAAGTCATAACAGTATGTCTGTGCATCTTTCTACCATAGGAAAAGTTGTAAATCGCAAGCGTCAGGCTTTGATACGCTGTATCACGTCAGCTTACCTTTGGGACAAAATTGAAACGAATAATATCCGGGATTATCCCCTGTGGTGGGAACCAACGCAGCCTGAGCCGGATGATTGAACTGTAAAGCAGTCAGAGCTGGAAAACCGGAGTTTGCGCAGCACCACAAGTCATATATTATTAGCACTGATGAAGATCCACGCTTACGGATCGAAAGCTCTGCAAATAATAAATTTACGTGTTGTTGAAAAGTTATCTTGGAAAAGTAATACTGACAGTATATGTACATGTACAGTATAAGAAAATTTCTTCTGGAATATATGCCATCAAATAAATCAACGAGTTTGCTGATGAGAAAACGCTCGTACACAATGCTTTAATTCAACCATATTTTAGCTACGGTTGTGCTTGGAATGTACCAAAGGCGTTTCCACATTTTTTTAAATTTTTAGTCCACATTTTTTAAAAAAAAATTAAATTTTTTTTTTAATTTTTCGTCTGCCAAAAACTTCTGATCACAACAGAGCTGCTCACATAACAAGTGTGCCTAATGATGTTGAGCAGCAAACTGTACTGCATTTATGGGAAACTCTCAAAACATAAAGAATGAAAGCTAAAGCGAAAATCATTTTTAAAATACTTCGGGCAAATTGTCTTAGAATTATTCACTTTCAAAAAGGAACTATTAAACCACAATCTTCGTGACACCTCAAGCATCGTACGTATATCAAAGCCATGTTGAAAAAGAGTTTTTATGTAAGATGGTGCCTCCATATCGAACTCATTACCAGGAAACAAAAGAGAAAGCAAAATCTATCAAGTTTGGAATAAAAATCGCTACCCATCGCTTTTAAAACACGTCATTTCATGTAAACAGTGTATCGACTAGTTTTAAACTTGTAATAATTTCTTGTTTTCTACGCCAATTGTGGAAACCAGCTCGAGCTGACAATGTTAACGTGATTAATTAAGGTTTATCATCACCATATGGTGTTTCTACAAGCTAAAACTTATGTTTCTAATGTCGTTTCATGCCAGGTGGAAACAAGGGTTCGGAAGTGTTTATCTGCAACGAAATCTCGCCTGAAAAATCTCAGGGAACGAAGGGAGAAACTGAACGAGCAAGTAAAACAGAATGAAGAATGGTTACAGCGAACACAAGATGAAATCAAGATGATGGATGCAGCGAATGGTTCGTTTAATGTTCAGACTTTTCTTAATGTTTATGAAACATCATGTTCAAATGAAATACATGTGAAGGAACTACAGCAAGAATGTAAATATTACAAAAAGTGTCTTCAAAATTATGAATCACAAAGAAAACGCGAAAAACGGTAAGTCACCAAAATTTGATGTACAGTACATTCAGTATTACCAAAACCTTGGATCCTTCCTCTCGGCAGAAAAAAACATGTCATGTGTCATGTTTTCTTGTTAAACACTCGGGACGAATGCAATGCGTTCTTAGATATAGCTTCGATAAATCGACCTCAGAGAGAGATTCAGATTTTACCGCTACAATTAACCAGTCGGATATATAATTCCCAAACAGCTACACTTTTGGTTAACTTTCGTTTTCTTATTTATTTTGAATCAAATTCCGCGCCTGTTTGTAAAAGGCATGTCCACAATCGTGTTCAAAGTATTGATCAGCGGACGGTAATCACTGTTTACATTATGTAATAGAGAGGTTTAGCAAAGACAGCGCGACGTCAACGAGGACGTGAAAATGGCGTGGCGCATGAGATTTTACTTCCGGTTCAATCTAGGACGGCAGTCGCGTCGATTCTTGGACGGCATTCCGGGTGTTTTCTCGTCCTCTCTAAAACGTCACAAATTTATGCTTGTTTTGAAATACGAGAGTATGCACTAGACCTAGGCCTTTACTCGGCTGGCTTTGGCAGGTATCTTTGGCAGGTTTGGTCAATTTCCGGCTAGCATTTGGTAATTATCGCAATGGTCATTTGCCTCGTAAAGGCCTAGTAGATTTCACAAGTTCTCAAATTAGCCCCATAACTTCTTGATCCGAAATTGATCAGAAACCAACAACTAAAGCAATTTATACTGTCCAGTAGTTATTACATTAACTATAAAAACATTTTATGACTAAACTAAGTTC